TCCACAAAGCGGTCTCCAAGCTTCCGCTTGGTCTCCTCGATGTGGAGGAGGCCACATCGGGAACAGCGGATACAAAGACCACATTAGTGGATGTGCAGGTGAACATCTATCTAATGTGGAAGGTTTTTTTGGGGCCTGGGATGGAGGTGGGGGGGGAGGTATAGGGGCAGATGTAGCACCTCCTGCGATTGCAGGGAAAGATGCCGAGGGTGGTGGGGCTAGTGGGAAGTGTGGAGCGGACGAGGGAGTCACGGAGAGAGCGGTCCCTCCGGAAGGCACATAAGGGTGGGGAGGGAAATATATCTTTAGTGGGGTCAGATTGCAGGTGGCGGAAGTGGCGGAGAATGATGCGTTGAATCCAGAGGTTAATGGGTGATACGTGAGGACAAGGGGAATTCTGTCTTTGTTTTTATTGCAGGGAGGGGGCGTGAAGGCTGAGGTGCGGGAGACGCAAGAAATGCAGTCGAGGGCGTTTTCGACCACAGTGGGGAGGAAATTGCGGTCCTTGAAAAACGAGGACATCTGGGATGTCCGGGAGTGGTACATCTCATCTTGGGAGCAGATGCAGTGGAGGCGGAGGAATTGGGAATAGGGGATTGCATTCTTGCAGGAAGGTGGGTGAGAGGAGGTGTAGTCTAGGTAGCTGTGGGAGTCGGTAGTTTGAAATAGATATCAGTATCAAGGCGGTTACCAGAGATGGAGACGGAGATGTCCAGGAAGGAGAGAGAGGTATCAGAGATGGTCCAGGTGAACTTGAGGTTGAGGTTCCCCGCTTCCTTGACCTGTCCGTCTTCCCTCTCACCTATCTGCTCCACTATCCACCTTCTATCACCGCTGCCCCCCTCTCTATTTATTTCAGAGCCCCCTTCCCCTTGCCTATTTCTGAAGAAGGGTCCAGACCCGAAACGTCAACTTTCCTGCTCCTCTGATGCTGCCTGGCCTGTTGTGTTCCTCCAGCTCCCTTGTTATCTCAGACTCCAGCATCGGCAGTTCTTACTATATCCTAGTCCTTTTAACCTTTCCTCATAGCCAATGCCCTCGAGACCGGGCGACATCCTGATGAACCTTCTCTGCCCTCTCTTCAAAACTTCCACCTCCTTCTGGTAATGTCGCGACCAGAACGGCGAACGATACTCCACTTGCGGCCTAACAAGGGTTTTTATTTTGCTGCAAGAGATAACACAGTATGGAGCTGGAAGAACACAGCAGGTCAGGCAGCATCGGAGTAGCTTAATGCCTTTCATAATTTTGTAGACCTCTATTAGGTCTCCTCTCAGCCACTGTCTTTCCAGTGAAAACAATCCTAGTCTTTTTAAGATAACAAGGTGTGGAGCTGGAGGAACACAGCAGGCCAGGCAGCATCAGAGGAGCAGGAAAGCTGATGTTTCGGCTCGGGGCCCTTCTTCAGAAATGGGGAGGGGGAAGGAAGCTCAGAAATAAACAGAGAGAGGAGGGTTGGGGCTGGGGAAGGTAGGTGGAATGGTGATAAGTGAGTGCAGGTAGGGAGTGGTGGGGATTAGTCAGTAGGATGGGAGGACCGGATAGGTGGGAGAGAAGATGGGCAGGTTGTATCAGGTCAAGATGGCGGGGATGAGAGGGAGAGTTGAACATGGAATGAGGCCGGGGACAGGGAGATTTTCAAACTGGTGAATTCCATGTTTAGGCCATCAGGCTGTAGGCTCCTAGGGTGCAATATGAGGTACTGCTCCTCCAGTTTGTGGGTGGTGTCATTGTGACACTGGAGGAGGCCTAGAATGGACATGTCACCCAGCGAGTGGGAGGGAGAGTTAAAATGGTTGGCGATCAGAAGATGTTGTCGTTTGTTGCATACAGAGTGCAGATGCTCTATAAAACGGTCTCCGAGTCTCAGCTTGGTCTCACTGATGTAGACGAGGCCATATCAGGAGCAGCAGATACAGTAGACCAAGTTGATGGATGTGCAGATGAATCTCTGTCTAATATGAAGGTCTATTTTGTGCTTTGAATGGAGGTGACGGGGGAGGTGTAGGCAGCTGTAGCACTTCCTGTGGTTGCAAGGAAAGGTGCCGGGGTGGTGGGGTTGTTGGGGAGTGTGGAGCAGATGAAGGAGTCGCTGCATCATGTTTTGCCAACTCTTGTACTCCATGCTGCGCCCAATGAAGGCAAGCATGCCATATGCCTTCTTAATCACTTCAGCCACCTGTGTTGCCACTTTTGGGGAACTGTGTACCTGCGCGCTCAGATCCGTCTGTGTGTTAATGTTCCTAAGGGTTCTGCCATTAGCAGTATAAGTCACACCTAAATTTGATCCTCCAAAATGTATCATCTAGCATTTGTCTGGATTAAACTCCATCTGCCATTTCTGTGCCCAAGTCGCCAATCTATCTATGTCCTATTGTATCCATTCACATTCATCGGCACTATCAGCAACTCCACCAATCTTCGTGTCATCTTACTAATCAGACCACCCACAATTTCTTCCAGATCATTCATATATACTACAAACAACTGAGGAGCTAAGACTGATCCTGTGGAACAGCACTAGTTACCGGTCTCCATTCTAAAAAACACCCTTCCACCGCTACCCTCTTGTCTTTTATGACCAAGCCAGTTTTGTATCCATCTAGCCAGGCCACCCCAAATCCCATATGATTTTCATTTTTGTACCAATCTGCAATGTGGGACTTTATCAAATGCCTTACTAAAGTCCATATAAACTACATCCACAGCTCTTCCCTCATCAATTATCTTTGTCACCTCTTCAAAAAATTCAGTCAGGCTGGTGAGACAAGACCTTCCCCATACGAAACCATGCTGCGTGTTGCTATCTAGTCCATTTTCTTCCAAATGTCCGTATATCCTGTTCCTGAGTATCTCCACAGAGCTTTCCCCACCACAGATATCAGACTCACTGGCCTATAATTTCCTGGATTATCCCTGCTTCCTTTCTTAAACAAGGGAACAACATTGGCTAATCTCCAGTCCTTTGGAACCTCACCTGTGGTCAAGGAGAATGTGAAGATATCTGCTAATGCCCCAGCAATTCCTTCCCTTGCCTCTCGCAATAAACCTGGGATAGATCCCATCTGGCCCTGGGGACTTGTCTACCTTAGTGGAATTTAGGATACCCAAAACTTCCTCTTTTTAATATATTGACATTTTCTAGAGTATTCACACACTCATCCCTGACCCCAACATCAGTCATGTCCTTCTCCTCGGTGAATTCCAATACAAAGTACTTGTTAAGGATCTCTCCCACTTCCTGTGGCTCCACACATAACTTCCCTCCTTTGTGTTTGAGGAGGCCTACTCTTTTCCTTGCTACCCTTTTTCTTCAAATATATGCATGAAAAGCCTTGGGTTTCTCCTTGACCCTGTTTGCTAAAAACATTTCATGGCCCATTTTAGCTTTCCTAATTCTGCATTTAAGTTCCTTCCTAATTTCTCTGTACTCCTCAAGGGCTTTGTTAGTTTGTGGCTGCCTAGACCTATCGTATGCTTCCTTTTTCCTTTTGAGCAAGTTTATAATTTCCCTTGTCATCCATGGTTCCTGGATCCTGCCTTTCCTATCCTTCAGTTTTGCAGGAATATGCATGTCCTGCACTTTAATCAACTGCAGGCCTCCCACATGTCATACATAGATTTGTCCTCAAATAACTGCTCCCAATCCACATTCCCCAGTTCTTGTCTAATTTGGATGTAATTGGCCCTTGCCCAATTAAACATATTCAACCGAGGGCCACTCTTCTCCTTGTCCATGACAACTCAATCTTATGGAATTATGGTCACTGACCCAAAATGCTCTCCTACTGAAACTTCGATCACCTGTCCTGGCTCATTCCCTAATACCAAGTCTAGTATGGCCTCCTCTCTGGTTGGATTATCAACATACCGTCTCAAAAAGCCCTCCTGGACATAGGTAATAAATTGCTCTCCATCCGAGCCCCTAACTCTAAGGGAGTCCCAGTCAAGAAGAGGAAAGTTGAAGTCACCCACCACAACTACCTTGCTTTTTTCACACCTTTCCAATATCTGACTATATATCTGTTCCTCAGTCTCATGTGGGCTGTTGGGAGGTCTATAGAAAATCCCAGTATTGTGGAGACGAGAAAACCTAGCCCATTTGACTTTATATTTAGCTGTCATCATTTTCAGTTTCAAATTGTGAATGGCAAGCTGTTGTATGATCCTGATGAGTAACATCAGCGTGGTCAATTTAAAAAATTAGCCCGTCATGATTCTCATTTATCTCTAATTGGCTAATTACTGTGAAAAATTGTCCGAAGATCACTTGGCTTCTTCTGTTAATTACACATACATCAAGGAAGTAACCTGAGAAGCCTGAGGTAACAAGTTAGATAATTTGGAAAGAAATAAATTAGCTAAGATCTTTTACCAAGATAACAAAAAACATGTTAAATCAGCAACATAAGTCACTTATGTAGCTCTTTAAAAAGTGCCAAAAGGAGACAGGCTGCTGAACTAATTTTTTTAAAGATTGAATATAGTTTAGAAATATAGCCGGTTGTGTTATCACGTCCTAGATTTATGTAAATAAAACTGAAGGACCATCATAGAGGTTGAATGTTCATTCGTGAAAACTTTTTTTTTGCTTCAGTTTATACACACGCTAACTGACTGTGCAGAAGAATTAGGTTACGTAATATTCCCTCACTTTTTGTGATGACAGACACATCAGCATAGATATATGCATAGATGATAATATTTAACATAGTAATAAATATACCATCAAATGCACTACCACAACTCAACCTAAGAATTTAAAAGTATTTATAAAGTTGTAATTCAAGATTGCAAGTAGACTCATGTCTAAATTCATTTCACAGTATTTCAGTGTTCGTAATGTCATTGTGTCTATAAATTCTGTTTTTATTATGTATGGTGGAGTTGACTTTGTTCTGATCTGTTGGGCTATCACTTTTTCTATTGCCATTATTTCAATATGCCTGTAGAATTAGTAAGTGCTAATTTTAAGTAATTGAGTCTTAACTTGTCTGCAGTTGTGATACAACCCATCGCAGCCCAAGATTTGGAAATTCCACAGGAGCCAGATAAAGTTGCTGTGGAACTAGTAGATGGGGAAGAGGTTCCTCCAAAACCAAGCTTGCCACCTGAGGCAGCACAGGAAGGTGACTTGCATCTTTTGTGGGAAGCTTTAGCTAAGAAACGTAGAATGAGTCGAGAGCCAACACTTGATTCCATCAGTGAAGTACCAGAAGAAGATGACAAAGCTCAGAAGCACCGGCTACAAAAAGCTATGGAATTGGAAGATTTATCTACAGATGAAATGTCCAGAACATGTGATTCTTACACAAGTTCTGATGATGAGTCAAGATCTGGTACCCCATCCCTTGTTCATTATCTGAAAAAGGCAGGAAAGTCAACTGTAGCTGGGCAAGTGCAAACTATATCCACAAACAAGTTTTGGAAACACTGGGAGACTTCAAACATTGAACCTGATCAATTGCAAGATACAAAAGAAGACCCATCTCTCGTTGAAGCTGCTACAAAAATCCAGGCTGCATTTAAAGGTTATAAAACCAGGAAGGAACTTAAACAGCAAGTCACACCTGTGTTTATTGAAGTTTTTAAATCTCAGATAAGTAAGTTTGGGCAAACTGTCCATCTTGAGTGTGTAGCCCAGAGTAAATCTGAAATCAAGGTACGTTGGCTCAAAGATGGAGCAGAAATTGTTGATGGAAGGCATTATCACATTGATAATTACAGTGATGGAACTTGCTCCTTAATTATAACTGGCATGGAACAAAAAGACACTGGAACATATACTTGTGAGGTGTCTAACAAGTTTGGTGCAACTTCTCATAGTGGAAAAGTTACAATCGCGAGTGATGCAAAGGAAACAGTTAAGAAGGTCAAACAGGGTATTGGTATAAAGTACGGCACTGACAGTGAGCCAGAAAGTTCTTCAGGAAGTGAGGTTGATGATGCTTTCCGTAGAGCAGGCAAACGACTCCATAGACTTGTGCATTCAAAACTGTCTTTTGAAATTTCTGATGTGGAAGAAGAGTTTTTCTTTAGTGCGGATGAGGGAGATGAAGATATTTTGGACAAACAGATTTACCACGAAGATGAAAATTACATTTATATAAAGTTTGATTCATTAACTGAGGCTGAAATGGCAGCAACCAGATTTAGAGAAATATTTATTGGTCAAGGAATTCCTGTTCACATTGATATCTGTGAGGAAGGAAGCAGAGTTGAGATTCGGATTAAGAAGGTATCTCGACCCACTGCAGCATCTATTGACGATCAGACCAATATAGAAGAGGGGGTACATACTATTCTTGTTGAGTCTGGTAAGTTTGTAACTGCTTTTTGCTTAAATCATACAAACTTTAATTTTGAATGTATCACATAATCTGAAGATTTAACAATGAATGTAATATTTTAAAGTTAGTCTTAAAAATTAAAGCACCCTTGGAAAAATACAGTAGATATTGTACAATTTATTCTCTGCTTCTATAGTTCTATAGCAACTGGTGTACGAGGACACCCAGGTGTCATTGCTCTTCCCCCTTTCCCAGACTGTTGCTAGCCAGATCATCTTTCTTCCAGTTTTTCCCATTGTAGTGGATAACCTCACATATACCCACATTATATTTCATCTGCCATGCATTTACCCAGTCAATCAACTTGTCCAAATCTTTGCATCTTCTTCATAGCTCACCCTCTGATCTATCTTTGAGACATCTGCAAACTTAATGATATTGTATTTAGTTCCCTCATCAAAATCATTAATATATATTGTGAATAGCTGGGGTCCAAGCATTGATCCCTGCATTTCCCCACTAGTCATTGTCTGCCACTCATTAAAAGACCCGTTTATTCCTACTCTTTGTTTCCTCTCTGCCAACTAATTTTCTATCCATGTCAGTACACTACCACCAACACTTTTGGGTTTTCCTTGATTTTCCCAGACTGTATCTTTTCATATTCTCTGTTTTTCTACCTTCCTTTGCTTCAGCTCCATACCTTTTTGTATACCTCTAGGCTTTCTACAACATTAAGTTTTCTGTGACTGCCATAACGTTTTGTTTTCTGCTTTATTTTGTCTTGTATATTTATGGAAAACCAGTGGACTTTTGGATTTGACACGATTACCTTTATCTTTGCGGGGACATGTCTACACTGTGCCTGGAGCACCTTGCTTTCTCGTGCCTCTTAGTGATTTTCATTCAAGTAACTGCATCCAGTCCACTTCCACCTGATCATCAGTGCTTTATAAAATATATCATCCCCCAATTTAGAATTTTTCAATCCTCCTTTTCCATAATAATGATAAATCTAACTGTAACATGGCCATGATCTCCAAAATGGTCATCCACTGCTCCTTCATCTACCAGTCCACCTCCATTTCCTAAGATTAATTCCCATCCCAACCAAAACACCACTCACCTACCCCAGAACATTATTGTCCTGGTTCTGACTTGGTGGATGATCAAAAAATCTCTCTCAAATTACGTCATAAAAACAGTGGTCCAAGGAGGATAGATAATAGTTTTCAAAATGAAACTGGTAAATATTTGTGGGGAAGATAAATGAAAAGGGCTGTAAAAAGATCCTATGAGTGGTTTTGAGTATACCTGTTTTAGAGATTAGCATTTCATTTTTGTGCTGCAAAATTCCTTGGTTGTGGATTTTTTCTCTCGCTTGCACAACTATACTAATTCGTAATAAGTTGAATTATGTGCTTAGCATCATTCCAGCTGAGAACATTTTCTCACATTAATGCGTTATTTCCTTTTATGTTCCCTTTTGTCACATAAAGCACCCCATGTTGTGTCTGAACTTCAGAACCAGGATGTTCAAGAAGGCTACCCTGTCAGTTTTGATTGTATGGTAGCTGGATATCCACCTCCAGCAGTTCGATGGTTTAAAGATGGAAAGCTGATTGAGGAGAATGATCACTACATGATTAATGAAGATCAAGATGGATGCCATCAACTTATTTTAACATCAGTGAATCTGACTGATATGGGAGTTTATAGATGTGTGGCAGAAAACTACATTGGCGTTGCTTCAACAAAGGCAGAGTTAAGGGTTGATGGTAAGATTTGGCAAATATGATGCAAACCTGCTGATAATCAAACTGAATTATGACATTAGTGTTAACTTGGAGGAATTTGGTATTTTGGATCTGCAAATGCAAATTGTTAGAACTTTATATATACATTGTTATATTTTGGATGATAATAACATGCCTTTTGTTCAAATTAGTTTCATTTCTTTCTCGCAGTTAGCAGCTCTGACTATGATACAGCAGAAGCCACTGAAACATCATCTTATGTCAGTGCCCAAGCTTCTCTAACCCGGTTAGTATTGAAACAAAAATTTCATTACATTTTATGATTGTCTTCAAAGGCAGTTTTGATTAAAAATGTGAACTTCATAGTTTTCAGAGTCCTTGGGCATAATTTTCAATTTTGGAGTCTAGATTGGGTGTTGGGTGTGGAAGTGAGCTTTGCTTCTGCTCAGGAGCAGGTTGATTTCTCTCATGTGACCACATAGTTCTCAAATCATTACGTGTCCGTGGACAAGTAAAGTAATTTGGCAAATCTTGTGGTGGGACAGGCAAAATGTCCTTGCCCCAGCCAGTCCCTTAAAGGGGTAAAGGTCGTGACATCATATTTAATCAATGCTTGGATAGCCATTCATTCGCAAGCCAGGAGCAGCATTGAGGCTTTTTGAATGAATTCCTGCAGCTAAACATTCTGGCCCTGCCATCTTCCCCAATCAGCCTGACTCCCTTGACCAGCCTCCTTGACCTGAGCCCATTATACTGCGGCTTCTCTCCCAGTTATTCTCTATGCCTCTTGCAACTTGGACTGCTGCTACTGAATGTCCATCATGGCATGGCATAGATGAGCATTGTTTCTAAAGAGGACAAGTTATTTCAAAGTCCAGCAAGTACAGTATCTCACCTGCATACCTTTTATGTGGAATCAGAAATCACGCATTATATGCTTGTGAATAACCTGACTGGGAAGTGCACATTAATTTTGTTGAGCTAATCTTTGATGAGCATCCATGTTAACACAAATACGTGTGCAAATTCTTCCTGATGACACTAACTGCAAACAATTGAACCGCTTTTAAATTTTCAAGAACTTAAATGCTAAAATTCACCCTCATAGCAGCTCAAGATTTTGCTGAATATTTTGAGCAACTGATGAGAAGCTGTTTGTGATATGGCAGGGGTTTTTCTCCACTAAGTGGAGCCAATTAACTCTATCATTCCACAATAAAGTTTTAATACAGATTTCAGTTTAAGATTCTTGAGTGCTGATCTTTAATAATTGGTAAACGCTTTTTTTTTAACAACAGAGAGCAGAATTTGGAAGGTATAGAATCACAGGCTGAAGAAGAACAACTGCCTCAGATCATAGAGGAGCTTCATGATGCCTTTATTACTGCTGGGGCTCCAATAGTAAAACTACAAATTAAAGTTAAAGGTATGGCTAATTGTCCGTTTAGCAGTGGAAGTTGTGAAGTTTTCAACCCAAAATGAAATTACATTGCAGATTTCAGTAACTATTCTCTCAACATGCAACCTGTGAGAAAAATAATAATGCTATAAACCTCAGGTTTCTCTCTCATATGGGGGAATAAAATTAAACTGGTTTAAAATGTAGCCATGTTATTATCTTTCCTGTTACTTTTCCTTTTCTACACTCTTACTTATTTTCAGAAATCCTTAGCAATCTCTCACATCAGTTGTCTTTCAGCTTACTCTGTTCATTGGGTACATGGAAATTGTATCAGGATCCTACAAATAATATTGGATCACAGATTAAGTCTTTAAATAAGAATTTGGCCTATTTTGTACAAGAGTGCTGGCTGCTTCTTTCAAGGCCATTTAAAATTTTGCACTCAATTTAATTTCATTTCAGCAGTTGTTTTTTCAAAAGAACTAATCTTGTTGTGAACCGTACACATTAAAATTTAGGGCAGTTGTGATATAACATACCCGCCACCTTCCATACTTTAGCAGATCCGCAGTGTTACAGGGCATTATTGATAATTGACAAATTATAGATATTGTGACACCATGTCCTTGCCCTAGAGCCAGAGATTCTGGGTTAAAGTTCACCATGGGACTCAATGGCCAAGGAACGTAATTTCACAACACATTCAGACAGATTGAGCATCAGCTTGTAAATCCATCCAACATATGCCAGTGGCAGATGATTAAACGGAATAGAGTCCTGGTCAGCTATGTGATGGAAAGAAATTGTATCTTCTACCATCCCTATTCACTATTCCAGGCTGCAACACACAAAGAAACAGCTGTGTTGCCACAACAACTCAGATTTCTTTTCAGAGGTGAGAAGTTTGGGAGGGGTGCTGGTTGGTTCAGTTAGTTGATGGTCAGTGTATATCAGATTAGTACAAACGACATGGGGTTTGATCTTCATTCCAGCTGGGGTGGATTTGGGACTGCCTCCTTGCCCTACCTAACTATGGTGAAAGTTATAACACAGTGGGTCAGTCCTGCCTTTGAGTAGAGAACTCAAGAAGAAAATTTGTTCATAAACAGAATATAGAGTTTTAGAATTTGTGCTGAGGTTTTGTTATTTCCACTGACAAACCTATAAAGCAATTTCTAATGAGCTGGATATGTTTGACTGCACAACCAATGGGCTATTGATCATTTTGGTGAGGTATTGATTTTATCTGGTTGAAGCCTTACACAGTTGCCTTACAACTTGTGCCTATGATTTCTTGATGTAAGCATCTCTTATCATATATCCACATGTGTGGATTTGTCAGTAATCCGGTTTGAAAATTCTTAATCATGGTAGTAAGTTTCTACACTTGTCACACGTCGATCTGACTGATTAAAGGTCCAGAGATGAATAAGTTCCATCATTTGGAGTTCTGCATCATCTGCCCTTTTAGTTTATTTTCCCAACCTCTAGCTCTGTAAGCTGGGTCCAACAATGGTCTGAAAGACAACAAGCAATGGCAACAGAGGGTCAGGAAACTGGCAAACAGCGAGCAGTGCAACACCAAATATAAATATACTGTACGCAGATTAACTACCTGCAAATAAGAGGCAAAGTCAAAGTTGGTTGAGGGAGTATTTGAAATATGTCATGCTTTAAGCATTTAAAAAAGATGCAAGGCAAGTCTGAAATTCTGAGCTTAACAACACAAAAACATAATCTTGTTATTGATTCTAGCAGAGGTGTATGATTGCACAAGTTTGTCTGACCCAGGCTACCTGTGCTGCTTATTGATGTGAGACAAACTGTTGAAGTTGGTGCCAAAGTACAAACTACCAAGTAAGAAAGGAGACAATGAACATAGCGTACAAATATCACAAAGTGCGAGGAAAGTTCTGAGATAGAAAATCAGACAGCTGGCAGCATACTTCCTTGCTGCGTAGTTTGCAAGTACCACACAGAAGTATGAACGTAAGTTAATGCTGCCACCAGGTGCAGAAGTCAAGGCACTTGGGGAATCTAATTATACAAGAGGAGAAATATTAGCTTCTAGAAGTTGGGGTAAAAGTTGAAAATTAGGTTGCCAATTGGTTAAAGAAGGATGATAGTTTCCAGCAATAAGCATTAGGAACATATCTTTAACGTGTTAGCATGCTATTATACTCATTAAAGCTTAAGCCACTATTGTACGATGATTTCTCGCCACAGCTATAAGATGTAAAATCTACCTCATAGATTTGCTGCCACCATTCTTTTTCCTTGTAAGGATATACGTGGGCCATCTTGTTGTAATGAGGTGGAGGAAAACCACCTGATAGTCTTGTGACACCACTAGAAGAGGCTGTTGTTTTAAACAAAATGTAGTTTATTGCTGTTGGTAACTAGGTAGAAGTTACATTGGTATGATAGAAATTGTTACTGAGAATACAAAGGAAAACTCGAGGTTAGGTCTGACTCCTTCAGATCCAAACTGTCCCCCTCCTCAGGGTCATGTGATATCATCACTGTGCAGTGCTTAACACGCTCCTGAGCATTAACTCTTTAAGACCTTTATGCCCTCCCTGGCTTCATTCCCATTAATATTATATATTTAATAGAACATAGAACAGTACAGCACAGCACAGGCCCTTCGGCCCACGATGTTGTGCCGAACTTTTACCCTAATCCTAAGGTCTATCTAACCTCCACCCCTATCTTATACTATCATCCATATGCCTATCTAATAGCCCCTTAAATGCCCCTAATGTGGCCGACTCCACTACCCTCTCCGGCAATGTATTCCACGCCCCGACCACTCTCTGAGTAAAGAACCTACCTCTGACGTCTCCCCTGTATCTACCTGCACTCACTTTAAAACTATGCCCCCTCATAATAGCTACCTCCACCCTAGGAAAAAGTCTCTGGCTGTCTACTCTATCTATACCTCTGATCATTTTGTACACCTCTATCAAGTCACCTCTCATCCTTCGTCGTTCTAAAGAGTAAAGCCCTAGCTCTCTCAACCTTATGCACATAATCACATCTGCCACTATCCCATCTTCCCAGGAGTCTTACTTCACAAATTCCAACGGTCTGGAGGTACTGCTGTTTTCCATTCACTTCAGACTTGGAAACTTGATAGGTCTCTGTGTTGAAGACTATTGACTTTGATTATGTTCTTAACAGTGTGACAGTTTCAGGTCCCTTAGAACTGGAAAACCTTTTATCTTTTGGACTTCCTTCACTGAGGATATCTTTCCTGCTGAAACAGACAGTTGTTCTATTGTAATATCTGGAGGAGCTTTAAACTTGTTAACTTGCTTTGCGAAAAATAGCAATACTGCTGAAACAAGTACTTTATCCTTTTCAGTATCCTGGATCTCCAAACCAGACAGTTTATTCTTGACTGTGCCCTGAATCTGTGAACATTGGTCACTATACCTCATCAGTGGCTTCCATGGAGCTATATTGTTATGATCCCACTTTTGGAGTGGTGGGCGTGTGGAATGCGCTGCTGGCAGTGGTAGTGGAGTCAGACACTTTAGAGACTTTTAAGCAACTCTTGGATAGGCACATGGAGGATAGTAAAATGTAGGATATGCTGTGTAGTTTGATCTCAGTAGGATAATAGGTCGGCACAACATTATGGGCCAAAGGGCCTGTACTGTGCTGTATTGTTCTATGTTCTATGTATATACTGGACAAGTCAAATCCCAGAGTGAAGCTTGGCTTGAAAGACTATAAGTTTTAGTTTTGTCATTTGGTTACCATAGTGGCCAGATCAGGTAAGGATGACAGAGCTCTTTCCCGGAAAGGCAATAGTGAACCAAATGGATTTTCACAATCATCAACAGTGATTGTATGGTCACTTTTAAATAAGCTTTATAATTCCAGTTTTTTATTTATTCAATTCAGAGTTCACACTCTCTCATAGTGGATTTGAACCCATGTCCCCAGAATATTAGAGACAACAAGGTGCAGGGCTGGATGAACACAGCAGGCCAAGCAGCA